ACTGCATAGCGAGTCTGGCCGGTATTTACAGGTGGTACGCAGGTAAATGACCACACACTCAAGCGTACACATCACTGCACAAACCGCCCTGGGCAGGCGCACTCAGAAGGAGCCTGCGCCACAGCGATTCTGATCAGTGTAGCCGAACCCCGCGGCTGGAGTCTCTGGCTCAGTGGGCGGGGCCGTCGTGGGCCTCGAGCTGCACCATGATTGGTCTGCGCCCTGGGAGAGGCGCGGCAGGCGGTGGGCGGTAGCGGTGTGGGTGGTGAGCTGCTCTGTAATTGGCAGGAGCCCGTGGGCGGGGCGGGACAGGCGGCGGGAGGAGGGGCTGGCCGCGAAGTGGGTGTGTGCGGCGGCCGGTGCTGTAGTTTCAGTATAAACAAGGAGCCCGACTGGTTTAGGCGGATTTTTTGTCCTTCTTTACGCGCGCTTTCCTCGCCGGCCCTTGGGTCGGTCGCATTTGTAGGCGCGCGGCACACAGCCCGGTGGCAGAGGACCCGGGGTCTATCTGCGTGCAGGTAGGTGGCTGCCCGGGGGCGTAATTCTCCCGGGGGGACCGGGGCCCCGCGGCGGGGACCGGGGGCTGTACTGCACACCACGCTCGCGGCGGAGACCCGGGGGCGCAGGCGAAGGGCAGATCCCGGGGCGCGATCGCTGCAGCGCCCAGCCCGGCTAAAGCCAGAGACCAGGAAAGCCCCCTTCCCTGGTTCCTGGGGCCGCCCTGGCCCTACAGGTGCGAGGCTGAGCTGCAGGGACCCGGCAGGGACACCTGCGTGTCTGGCTCCCTGCCACTTCCTCCCCTGCCCACAGCCAGGCCTTCTCTTTTGAGATCTCGGTAGTTTCTGAGGGTTTGTCTGCGCTCACCCATTTCTCTTTCCTTCTTCTCCTCCTGGGCCGTGTCCTTCTACTTCTCGGATGGTTTTCCCGTGTGTTTGTGCGCGTGTGCTCGAGCGATGCTGTTTATTTTTGTCGCCAGTTCCGTGTACGCTGAGGTCTGACTCTTGGGAAGGGTTAAGCAAAAGTCTTGTGCTTCCCCGCGCTGCTCTACCTCCGCGGTTTTGTCCCAGCGCAGGCGAGGGCCCTTGAGACACCTGTCCGGGCGATGCCACAGCGAGCCGGTGCCTGGAAGTCTCTTGTGTCTAAGAGAAGAGGACACAGCAGGGAGCAGGGTTCTCCACGCCGCGTGTGCGTTTGTGTGAGTATTGGTGTGTGAGTGTTTGTGTGTGTGTGTGTGTGGTGATCTGACCGTTGCGCCCCACTTCGCCCCGTCCACATTGGCGCAGTTGGGACGAAGCGACGTAGACGAGCCCCCTGACAGCCCCGAGGTGGCACCAGCGTGGGACTCCGCGCACGAGGAGAGCACCGAGCCGCAGTTCTCTCTTTGGAAGGCAGTTGTGTTGACTTCGCAGATGAATTCGGTGGCCACGGTGTGTATAGATGGATCTGCACACGTATTTGTGAGTGTGTTTGGGCCAGCGCGTCTCCTTGGAGGCCTTGGTCAGCAGCGCCATGCGACAGTGGTCTGGAGCTGCTGGTGTGCATGGTTCTATATTTAGCCCCGGTGGTCTGTGGTGGCCAGGGAGGGTCTCTGAACCCGTGCACAGGGGAAGAGGCCCGGTCAGGGTGTCGCCCTACTGGAGGATGTCTGGCACAGTCAGACTCAGTCGGGGTGAATAATTACTCTTTCCTGCTGAGGACACACTGCAGCTGGGCATGTGACCACTGTGCCTTCATTTAAGCAGAGTTGGATGATGGTGGTCAGCCACGGCTAAGAAACCAGGTTTAAGATTAAGCAGGGCGTATACCTGATTGGAGAATTGGGAGGAAATTACTGGTAAAATGAGGTTTACAGCAAATGTAGAATAGATTTCTTAAAAAAAAAAAAAAAAAAAAAAGAAGAGAAGGGGGTGAAAATGTTTGTTAAGGTTTTTATAGAGAAAAGAAAGAAGAGAGGAATGGCAGCTGGTTAAGCTCTGTCATTAACGATGATGATTTTATTTTGGAGAGGGGCAGTGTTTGAGCCAGTGAGGACCCAACACTTTAAACAGAAGTCAGGTTCACAAGCAATTCTTGCTCTATTATTCTTTCCAAGTGGATTTTCTGGCAAGGATCAGATCACCCACTGATGACTAAGTTTCTTGTTGGCATTGGTCCCCAGCATGTCGATCAATCCTTTGTTTTCCTAGAGGTGGCAACATTTCTGGCTACTAAGCACACTTGCCTTGTACTTTCCAGCTGTCTATGGAGTGTTCAGTTCTTAGAATTTATTTCTGCTGTGATGCATCTGCAGTTTTCCTTCACATTATGTGCTTCAGTAGACATTGTATCTGACATCATCACACTTGATACCTGGGCTCATATTGTCTTTTGGAGAAGAGAATCACAAGACTGTATTTGCGTTTGTTGTCTTTTCCCCCCAGTTTAGAATGTAATCTAATATATTCTTTAGCAAATATAACTAAGAATTTCAAAGTACTCTATTTATTATAATAATACATATTTCTTGTTTATTACTAACATTTCATTCTTATAATCTAAAATTAACTACTGGGTAATAGAGCACAATAAACTAAATAAAACCCACTGAATACTAACTACCCTTCTAAAGGAAAGAGAAATGTTAAAAAAAATTGAGGGGAGAGCATGAGGAGAGGGCCCCATAGTGGATTCCTTATATGGCACAGGAAGCCTTGGGGTTGGCTTTATCAGTCCCCAAAGGCTTCCTGGAAGAATTGAACTTGAGGACATTTGGGTGACTAATGAGAGCCTTGCCTTGGGAAGGACATGGGGGAAGGAAGGGAGGCTGCCTCGCCTGAGAGAAGAATCCAGAATCCCTGAGCAAGACTAAGACTCTTAATTCTGATGTTGCAAATAATAAGTGAAAAGTTTTTTAAAATAACATTTTATAAAGTCTTACAGAGGAAAATTGTACGATGGAAGTGTTGCTTAAGGGTCATGGAATTTTGTTGTCCTTAGTGGTTGAATTCGGTTATCTTTCTACTCCCGTCACTTTTCCAGAACGATAGCTGTCCCTTTTGGGGGGAGGGGCTTCCAGGCATACCTACAAAAACTAGATCTTTGCAGTATGGTTATTCTGTAATAATGGATGTAGCCTAATGCCATGGGCAGCTTTCTGCTTGGGACTAGAAGATGGATTTTGAAGGATCTGGAACCCTAACCATCCATAGGTCTTCACCCTGTACTACAGTATCTGTAAAATGGACAGGGGCACTGAGCTAGGTGATATATGAGTCTAGGTGATGTATCTGTGTCATGACTGCTGTACTCTATTTACTGTCACTTCAGGAACTTGCTTCCTATACTAAGGTGGATTAATGAAGGATGGAGGTGTTGTTAGATGTTCTGCTATTTTCTGGGTGCATGGTAATAAAGAGAGGAGAGCAAGAGTATTCTTACTGACCAATTTCTGTAGGAATTTAATACACTATTGAGTTGCCTTTTGGTTTTGGTTTTGCTCCTACTGGTATTAAAATTACTGAATATCATAAGGTGGAATCAGAAGAATTTTCTTGGCCTACTAAATCAGTGTTACTATCTACTAAATTTTTAATTTTACTTTTGACCAACCATTTTCCCTCTTAGGTTTATATACTTACTATTTCCTCTCAAGGCATATGTATATATGTATATGTATATATTTGGAGACACTCAGTTGATTCAAATTTTATTAGGAAACCCTGATATGAAAATTATTTAACATAAAGAAAGTAAAAATTAAGACCTGTAAGAAAGGAAAACACCTTAGAGACTGCCCACCAGGGGATGGATAAACATAGTTTTTTAAGAACTTGCAGCCAGAGAATAAAATTATCCCAGTAACCATATTGCACAACCAAATATAACAAGACAATCTTTATTTTTACAAATGTCCTCATTGTCAGACCATGTTGAGATGAATTTGGTGTAAAAAAACAAAACCTTTTATTAAAAGTGCTCCCCATATGAGACTCTATGATTTCACATGAGATCATTCGTGTATAGGTGGCATTATGCCTACTTGTATCTGTCTTGTTCAGCATGGCAGCCTTTAGCCACCTGGGGATATTTAAACCTACCTTTATTTAAATGGGAAAGAATTACAGATTTAGTTTCTCACTTGCACTGGCCATTTTACATGCTCAGTAGTCACCACGGCCAGGTGTGACTGTACTGGACAGTGAAGAGGAGGGACATTTCCAGGATCCCAACACTTTTGATAGCTCTTGATTAGATAATTATGATTTTGATTTTCCAGAAGATCATTTTTATTCTATTGGGAAAATGAAATAATTCTCATCAAAAATGGGTATCTAAGATATCAGGAAATATATCATAGTTTATATATAACTGGTACAGTGTGAGCAGTTCCATTCTCCTGAGTCCAGTAATATGCCGAGGCCACAAACACTAATTTCTCCATATTTTTGGCCCAGAATTCTAGCTGCCCTTTTGCTTTTTCTAAACCACCGCCAACTATTCCTGCTACAAAAGCACCAGCCCTTTCAAAGACAAGGGATGAGGAGCCACCTACTGTTCAGCTCAAGAACTGCATGGGAGTTGCAAACGACAAAGGCGGTTAAAGCAGAAGGGTTGGCATGTTCCCGGGATTCACCTCCCACTGAGCAAAGCCTGGTTGCATAGGGAAGTTTTCAGTGACATTCCAGGTCTAGAGTTGCCATTTTGTGTTTTAATAAACTACGAGCAATATCCTCAGACAAAAGATAACAGATCTTAGCTTTGTTTTTCTTCCAAGGAAACCAAAGGTTATTGCTCCTTGAGGCAGAATGCCCTTCCTTCTTACGTTAGGAATTAGTGAAAAATTTGTTAAGTAGCATCTAGGACAGGTCAAGGAAAATACAAATCTATTTATTTTTTGTATGGATGCCTATAACTCAAATCCAGAAGTACTGTAATATCACCATTTCATTATACAGAGAAATAGGATCTTTCTTCCTCATAAGCACTGATTGTTTTTTCCTCCCTTAACTGAGTGGGAACTCAGTTCCAAAGAATGTACTTATCTTGAAGTTACTTACTTTCGGCTTACATGCCAAAGAAGTGAGTTGATTCTGAGTTGTCTGCTGTGCTATTTGCCCTCTCCACACAATACCTCTTTTCTCAAGGAGGTGATCAGAGGTGAGGCATTTCTACAGCTTCCACAGATGCTGTTAGAAATCTGCGTTATTAGAACTTCTCCTGGCTAAGGAGAGAAATGAGAAGATAATAGTCTAGACTTTCAATTTCGCAATAAGCTACATTTAGATAGTGTCATAAGCTTGGCTTCTGCTATTTTTTGGTACCAGGAATTGAACTCGGAACCTCGCACTTGCAAGGCAGGCAGTGGCACCACCGAGCTAAATCCCCAGCCCCTGACTTCTGCTTTACACCTCGACTCAAATCTACAGTCAGGTAGGCATTGAGTGTGCAGTCAATTCCTACTGTTAAGATCTGGCATTGCCAACAACAAAAGAGTACCTGGGATCCCAGCTGCAGAAATAGATGAACTTTTTTAAATTCAGATCCCTGAGCCTTCAAATGGAAAAAGAAAGAAGTAAGTTATTGAAGGTGCCTGTCACCCAAGTGCAAAGTTCCTTTGGAATCTAGATGGGAATTGGGAAACCCGTAAGTCCAGGATATTAAATGAAACCTCTCCCCACTAAACAAATATGCTTTCAAAGTTCAGCTGTGATAAGGAGGCTTTTGTCTTACTTATGCTTTTAGTTTTTAAATTGGGACACATGTCCTACATGCCAAAATACTGTAGTCAACATAAAGGCATTGGATTTATTAAATCTTATAATAGAGTTGAAAAAACCCACTTTTTTCATTGACTCCAATATTTTCTGCCTCATTCTCTTGAATGTAAAGGAAATGCTGTGAGATCTTCTGTAAGAGATTTACAGAGCATCTATAACAGACACTGAGGGATAGCTTTTGGTTTAGTTCTCACATCCATCTTTTCCTTGAGCTCTTTTCACCTTTGAATGGTCACCTGAAACCACCTTCCCCCTGTGCACCTGCTTCATCGTAAATAACATTTTGCAGAAGCAGTAGCTAATTCAGATGCAGCCTGCTGTCAAGAAAGAAGCAGCTTTTCATCAGCTGCTTTGGTTGGTTTGGACCCATTAGGCATGGCTTTCAAACCCATTCATCCCGTAAGTCAGCTGCACTTGCTGACTTGCTGCTGGATCAATGTCAGGCTGAACATTTTCAGGGTCCTTGGAGGAACATGATCTATCTTTGTGACTAAATTAGCAGGCCCTGTAAGATGTCTTGTCTGTCAGCTAACTTTTCAGCTTACCAAGTTAATTTTCAGAAGGAATATTCATCTCCCCTACCTGGGTGAAGGATATCTTTTTGGAAAGTTTTCAAAGGTGACCTGTGATCCATACACTCATTTTGGTTGCCCTAGGTTTTTTTTAAAGCCCAGTTTATTGGTTTTTTGGGGGGTTTTTTGGTACCGGGGATGGAACTCAGGACCTTGTGTTTGCGAGGCAGGCGCTGGAACCACTAAGCTAAATCCCCGGCCCCTCAGTTTATTGTTTTAAAAACTCAAATCTGTTTCCCATTGTCTTGCTACGTCTCCTACCTCAAGGTGCTGCCTCAGTGCAGGGGGAGAGGAAAGCCTACTTCAGTAGCTCTGCCCACCCAATGATTATACTTCTTTTATTTTCTTTAACTCACTTTGATTGGTACTACCAGAAAAAACAAATATTCTTTGATTTCTAAGGAGCCAGACTTGAAATGTTGGGCCAGACTCCTGCTTTGGAATAAAGAAATGATATGAATGTTCTGTACAAGCAGCACATGGGCTTCTTAATCTATCACCTGGAAACTTTAAAGTATATTCAGACTTGTTGGTGTGTTTCTGCATGGATTAGGAGTTGGACGATCTCCTTAAAAAGTTAAGAGCCACTGGCAGAATAGAATATATTTTAAATTCTAGGAACTGGCTTACAAACAAAACTTTCTGTAAGAGAATTGGTTTCTAGTCCGCATTATGCATTAATGCAAATGATTTAAATAGTTAGCAGAGTTTTCATTTGCCTCATACAAATTTTTCTTTTTCCCAGGGAATTTGCTCCTTTGAAGTTTTGATTTAACAGTAAATTAAGCCAGTATTTAACTTGCTGCCTTGCACACATTCCAACCTCTGAGAATGGTGTTTCCTAAACAAGATTTTTGGTGATCAGTTCCCTGCTGATAGTTGTATGGGGCCAGGCAAAATTTGTGCTAAGAGGCGCAATGAACAGTGGAGAGACTGGATTTGATATTGTCCTGGAAAGTGTAGAAAGGAGCAAAGTGAGAGCTCCTGGATCCCAGAGACAGAAAGCAATAGTTATGAGAGCTGAAAAGAGAAGCTTGGCTGCAAATAAGGAAAGCATCAGGGCTACATCAAGGTAAAGAAATGAACGGAAGCCAGAAGTTCCGAGCAACCTCGTGCAAGCCTTTCTCCCCTAGGTAAATCATTAGGAGGCGATTTCTGGAGGTAATAGTGCCCACGGAGAAACACTTTTCTGGATTCTCTTGTAGTTTGGATATTGGATTTATTTTCCTAATAAGAACTGAGACATTTAACCTTTTGGGCCTCACTTCCCCCACCCCATCTCCTCTCATTTTTCTCTCTCTTCTCTCTTCCCTTGTTCTGGGAATTGAACCCAGTGCCTTTATACTGAGCAATATTCCCAGACCTTTTTAATTTAATATTTTTGGGACAAAGTCTCCCTAAGTTGCCCAAGCTGGACTTGAACTTGTAGTCCCCCTGTCTCACCCTCCCAGAGTGCCAGGATTATAGGTATGCACCAGCCTGGACCTTACTTTTCAATTCCAGAACTGAATCTGGTAGAACTGAAGACCTGGACAGTGAATCTGAATAATACTGAATAAACTGTAGCTCATGATATGGGTAATAAAGGAGAAAGATGCTTGGGAGAAAACAAGCTACTATGTTTATCTTCTTAGGTATTGAAAATTAAGTTTCACAAACAGGACTTTCTGTGCCATTCTGCTGATGTTGCCTCATTGTATCTGTTACACAGGCAGTTAATTCTTTCAAAAATGTCCAGACTGGCCACTTGTTAGAGATTCTCCAGAAATGAGCCATGTATATTGTGACTCATGATCTTTCTTTTAATCATTTGCCTCAATTTTTCTGGAAATCTATGACATTAGTGCAAGGAAATATTGTATTTTATAGAATCCAAGGTGTTATCTATTGTAAGATGCTCTGTTGTTTCATATATTGCTTAAAATAATACTATAAGTTAAACATGTTTTCTTATCATTTGACTGTCTACATATATCCCAGTTTTAAAGATACTCTGATATATGAGATCCCTGAAGTCTCTGTCTAAATGGGATTGTGCTTTGATTGCAAAGGTCAGTAGCTTAAATACTGCTGTTGATTGTGTGACTTTGTTTTGACAGTGTGACTTTTTAATAAGAGTAATTAATGGTATTAATACAACTTGGGAGCAAGGATTTATGTAGAACACATAAAACATGGAAATTATTCTAATAGCCTGCAGTTTGGGACAGACTGACAGGTTTTTCATTTTATGGTTCAACCTTAGAAGTTCAAAGAAGACCATTGGCAGTGTAACATGAGTAGTGTAATAAATTTCATACTTGGAATCTGAAGATCTAGGTTTGAAAGCCTGTGTCCCTTAATGTGTAACCCCAAGTGAGCTGTTACAGTTTTCTCAGTCTCAGCTTCATTCAAAGCAGTCAAAGAAGGTTGAGGAGGCTTGTGGGGGGTGGTTATAGAGCCCAGAAAGGCACCTGTAGCCATTACAGTCAGTTGTTAAGCAGACAGATGCCACTGAAGTTCTCAGAGCTACCACACTCCAGGTCTCCAGAGAGACATTTCAAGTGAAGGGGAATTCAGAGAAATAATGGCATGTGGGATGTGGAGACCTTTCCCAGCACGGGAGATCTCCTAGTGAGAATTCGGCCAATGAAGGGAAGGGCTTGAGGAATTGGAAAGATGCTGTCTTGAGTATACAGCAAGGTGGAAAAAATGCCCACTGTGCATAAATGAGGTGCTGAGGTTTCTGGGAGTGATGTGGATCTCAGCAGTTGGTTGTTGTGTGTGAGCTCAACAGTCAGGGTAGCTCATGAGCAGCACTTCGTCGCGCTAACTCAGGCCTGGGACCTGCTCCCTTCTGAGTTGACCTTTAAGCAAAGTAAGCTACAACTTCAATTAATTTACCTTGGTTTGGTTTCCATCATTATTTGCAATTTTTTCTTTTGGTGCCACATCAGAGGAGGGAGTCTTCCAAAGTGCTGATGTCTTGTACCTCCTCAAAGAAACCTTGTGAGTGATACATTTCCAAAGAACAATACAAAAAAACCTTTGCCATCACGCTAATAATGTTAAGAACTTCACTGTAGAGAAGATAGGCAGTTTTGGCTTATTGTTTCTTACAATTTAAAATTTTGGTAGGAGTAAGCAAAACTGAAAACAATGGAGCAGGGTGGGAGTGGGGAGTAATGGAGATTTCAGAGCTCTTCAGTGCCACAATTACAACTTCATTAAATCTGAATTCTTTTTCAGTACATGTTTGAGGTTTGAGGTACTTAATAAATATATTCATTGTAGATAGTCCATACATGTGTATGTCACATGTTAATTCTTTTTACATCCCCTTTCACTTCCTGCCTTTCTGCCTCCCAGTGTCTCTTGGTTCTCTTCCCATTTGCAAAAGACCTATTTCCCTATTTCTTGTCTGTCCTTCATTTTGCTCTTTATTTATATTTTGGGTTTCTCATTTAAGAGAAACCATTAAACCTGAATTCTTATCCAGAACTGAGTTCTTGTCTACACTTCAGAAGTTAATAGTTAACAAGTACACATACATGGTAGTTTGTGGTGCTGATTGCTGTGTCCTGGGACTTTGGCCCAGCCAGCCGAGGTCCAAGAATCAGGGGAGTTTCACCCAGCCCACATTGTTCTGGAACACTTGGCTGTATCATGTTAGCCTGGTGTCTCCAGTTCACCTCCCTGGGTCTCTGTTTGCCATCTGTAGGGAGAGAGGAGTTTGGACAGAACAGCAATGGCACGGCACATGGGCTGTGGGTTCTTCCATGGTTGCCTTGAATCCATCTCTGATCACTTTGGATACGCATTCTCCCATGGAGTCACAGCCTTGAAATGGACCTGAATCATCCTTGGGCCACCAGACAGCCACTTCTAATTGATTAGAGTTGGAAGTGAAATGAAATCTGTTTTTCTATATCTGGGACTGGATGATTTCTATGGTCCTTTGGATGTTTGTCATATTGTCTGATTTTTTGGAGTTCCAAACTCCTGGACAAATCTTCCCCTCCCAAACCACTTTATTACATTGGTTTCAATAACAACAAATAAAAAGATATCAAGGAAAATTCATGGTTCCTCTCAGGGGGAAAATAATTGAACTTCAAGAGTCCTATTCCTTGTCTTATACGTGAAAGACTCTTCTTTAAGCCACAAGTAACCAAGTCCGGGCACAGGAGTCCCTCAAAGTTATGAGAAGTTAGTTACCTTTTAGAGGTGCCTTTCATTTTAGTTTCGGGCCTCCCAGTGTGAGGGCATTCTGAGTTTTTCAGGACAAGGTTAGATTGGCTGGGTTTTTTTCTCACCAGAGATGCCTCATGTGAAATGAGTATATTACTTATGAATTGTATTCATGAAAATTGGCAGTTCCAAGAGAAAAGAAATGTGCTTTGTCCATTGCCTTATAAAATGTTAATGTTGAACTATTTATTTAATCACAGTTGCTGCATAAGGTCTTACCAGCCAAAGGGCTGTGTGGAGCATTTTTATTAACATTATATCCCACAGCCCCCGTCCTTTGACTGTTATGACCATGTCCTACCTAAGCTACGGGCACGGCCACAGTGGCCCTGGTAGTGACAAACCCCCTGGATAGGGTGTTCTCAGCAATCACTTTCTTCCCATTTGTGACTACTTTTTATTAGATCCCTTTAAATTCTCCCTCTGTACTGGTTTATGGATGGGATAGAGTACACAACCCTGAAGCGTTTTCTCCCTAGTTATTTATTTTAGCTGCTTCTTCATTTCCTAAATGCTATGTTCACTGCCAGCTGGCTTTGTAATAGTGTTTTGTCCCTAGCACTGCACCCCTGGCCCCTCCTGCGAAGGCACGTCCACACTGTGATGCTCTGTGTCCCCATCAGGTGTGACTGGAACAGGTGTGTGTGGAGTGACGTGTGGAGTGATGGATGTGACTTTTTAAACACAGCACCACATCCCACCCCCATTTGGATGCAAATATTTTTTGGCATCTTGAAAAGAAGGATCAGTCCAGGTCGTGTTCTCCTGCAGCCTCCACACCCTGTCCCTCTCAGTCTAGGCCCAGGAGTTGGGCTTCCCCTCATTGTTTGCCTTTGGAAGCCCCTGTTCTGGACAGGTCTTGAATGCCTCCATTGTCTAGGTCTGCTGCTAGAAACTCAGGGCTGCGCACAGGGCCAGGCACTCTGTCCCTAGGAGTCCAAGTAATAACTTAATAGCCTCTGACCTCTACCAAGTCCCTTGGACAGAGCTTTGTGAGTTGCAGAGCACACAGATGGAGAACAGCTCATTTCACAACTGTCTCAGTACTCCTTGTTCCAAATCACCTGCCTTCTTGGACTGCGTCCTTACTGAGAACTGAGGCTTTCTACACACCCCTCTCTCCCTGGCCCTGAGAATTTGACACAAAGTGATGAAAATAAACAGGATCTCATCCTCCAGTAAATGCATGAGGAGTCAGCATCAAATCACACACACACACACACACACGCACACACAATACTTCAATTCTCAGCTTCATTTCCCAGCTAGTTTTTCATTGTCAGTTTTAGTTGCCTACTAGTATGTCCAGTGCGAGTCAGGTGTCTCTTAATTGTTATATAATTTGTCCAGCAAAGTAGGAAGTTTTATACACTTCTACAAAAGGAAAATACTTGATTTAGTGGGAAAAAACAATCAAAGCCCAGTTCACCTGCCCTCCTTCTCAACTACACGTAAAGGAGTGACTTGAACTTAAATCCAGATTGAATCCAAGGAAGCATTTTATGGCATTGAATGAATGAAGTTGGTACTGAAATGTGTGCAATGTGTGGTTCTAAGGACAATTGGTTCTTCTTGACTTCTGATATTGTCAGAATCTATTTTTTAAATTAATTTTATTGGTACATTTTAGGTATACAATATAATGACATTCATCATTGGAAACTTGTACCTTTACATAATCTCTCTTGATTCTTATTTTTCCCCCATTCCCCTGCCCTCCCTTCAACCCCTCCATCCCTCCCTATTTACAAAGACTTTTGTTTGTCAGACTCTATTTTTAAATTGCCTGTTCCCTCGTTCCTATTAGAGCTTTGTGTCTATTAACACTTACTTTCTTCTCATATTGTGTGTTACTGACACCGTGTTTTCTTTTTTATTTCTTTTAGGAAAGCATGCCTCAGACTCCTCCTTTTTCAGCAATGTTTGACAGCAGTGGTTACAACCGGAACCTCTATCAGTCTGCAGAGGACAACTGTGGAGGGTTGTATTACCATGACAACAACCTCCTCTCTGGCTCTCTGGAAGCACTTATTCAGCATTTGGTACCGAATGTGGATTACTACCCGGATGTACGTGTTCATGTTCCTCTGAAATCCATCCTTGGGAAAGAGCAGACATTAAATACATTATGCAGGGACCATGCATACTATGAAATTGTATCAGGGTCGCTAAGAATTTTTCAAATAAGAAATTGCATATTGAATATTGAATGGTTTGAAATGCCATTGAGCCTGGGTATGGAGCTGATTTTGGAGTAGCCCCCATATCAGTTTCTTTCTGAGTTAGGAACCATTTACCCACAGTCTGATAGCCTCTGAATAAAGTATCTGTAGGGTTGATGTGTGCACACACCTTGGTCCTGAAATAAAAATGCTAGAGAACACTGGATCCTCCCAGAATAGGACAGTTAATGATTTTTTTTCCTAACATTTTTATGCTGAAAAAACTGAATGTAGTTAAGGAAAGTAAATGGAAGAGAGAAGAAATTTATACTCAAGGTGGAGTACTTTATAGATTGGACATCAGAGGACATGTTTGCTTTTGTTTTACCTTGGTAGCTTACATTTGTATAGATGGCACTTTTGGATCTAGGGAATTAATTATACATAATCTCAATGTTGAGAATGATTACAAGAGGGAAGAGGGGAGAAAACTGAAATTCACCAGTGCTGCATTTTGTTCATGGTCTCGTGGTTGCACTCCTAGCATCAGAATGTAACACAGTTTCCCCCTTCTCTTGTGCCACAGCTGTCTCTGTGGAACTTAGTTTGGCAGAGCAGTGAGAATTACTGAGCAGCTGGTGGTTGATTGAGATTTCATGAAAATATCTAGGGACCATATTAGTTCATTTTTATAAATGTAATAATAACCTTGGTAGGCAAAGGATAGTTTGTATTTGCCACTATAATTCACCATAGTGTTTCTTACTAAGTTATCGCTCTGTGTGTGATTTGTTACATAGCATTTTCAAATATGTTGCCACACAGGGAAAACTTGTAATCAAAAGTAAAAGGGATCCCTTGTTCAGCCCTTTAAATGTTTATGAGCTTCTAAAGGCACCCGAGGGGAGGGGACTTAACCCCTGGAATTTTTCTTTTCATGGGAGTCTGAAACTATTACAACAAATAAGAATACTTTATTACTGACTTCTGAGGAGACAATGTGGTTAAAGAAAACTACATAGTGTTATATTGTGCTTTATCAAATTGCTTAGCCCTTGAGCAAGTAAATAGGTTACTTGAAAGCCTGCCTTTGAATATTCTTGACACAACTCTTTAGTGTGCCACACTGAAAACACTGGAGAATTCTTGGGCTGAATGTGGGGAGGCTGAGCGGGATTTGTTGGATTATTTGTTTTCTGATTTTGTTTGGGGTCTTTACTGAGTTAACATAATATTTGGATACAAAACCAGATTCTGTAATGTTGGTATATTTAAGTTAGATTTATCTCTCTGGGCTGAATTTCATTCTTCCTAGAGTGAGTTATGTGTTCTGGTATCGTGGATCCCTGAGGATAGGGGTGAAACTGTTCCCTAATTTCAGGAGCTAAGCTTATCCTGTACTTCTATTAGTTTTGGTATGGTTTCAGGAAATGATACCTCTGAAGGTAGAGAGGGAATCCAACTTCATACTGTTTTGCTGCTGGAAAGCATTACTTTTCAAGCTGCAGCATGTTAACTTTGATCAGGAAAACTTAATGGAAAAAAGATGTCTAATATTTAGGAAAGATATTAATTTCAGAGAGAATGTAACAGTGATGACCTTTTTCTCTTGTCACAGAGAACATACATATTTACCTTCCTACTCAGTTCCCGGTTATTTATGCATCCTTATGAACTAATGGGCAAAGTTTGCCACTTATGCATGGAGCACCAGAGGCTAAGTGATCCTGATGGCGATAAGGTAACAAGGCATTTTGACCTTTACAGGTTTTTGACTAGAAATGTTGACTGACGGGCCTAACTTATCCCCAGGCTGACGTGCAGAAATGGCATCATGGCTGCAAATGGGGAATTGGGAACAGTATAAGGAACACACTGTAAATCAAATGCCTTGGAAGATCCTAGCTGCTGCTATAAGCTAGTTGTACAATGCATTGACAGAGGGGCCAAGTACTGCTTCTTCAATCCCAAAGACTTTGCACTAAAAGTTAATCAGTGACAGTAGTTATTTATTTGATACAGTCCCTGGTGACAGAGATCACCTGATTAAATTCATTTTTTTCTCCTCAGAACCAGATGAGAAAAATTGCACCTAAAATTCTTCAACTCTTGACAGAATGGACAGAAACATTTCCTTATGACTTTCGGGATGAAAGAATGATGAGAAATTTGAAAGATCTGGCTCACAGAATAGCCAGTGGCGAGGAGGTTAGTAACCTGAATTGATTACAGCCACTGAATTCCCAGCCATCTCTTGGTTGGGAAATGATATTTGTTTAAGCATCAGAATCTCGATGCTTTCTTTTCATTTTGTCTTTGGCACATCCTCTCTAGGCATATTGGTCTTTTTGGTATGTCAAGTGGGGATGATTATTCCATCCCACTTCAAAGGGAAATAAGCTAGAGTTTTATGTGATTAGTTGGGGGAATGTTCATGTCAGTTCATGCACAGGGCTCATGTTGCAAGTGTGTCTCGTTTTTACTTTACTTTTATCTTTCTGCCTTCCCAAAAGCTTTGACACAGCTAGCGAGATAATAAATAGCATATTAATGAACACTAATAGATTTAAAGTAAGCATATAAATATAGCAGTCCATGAGGAGCATATTAATAAATTATAAGTAGAAAGAGACAATCTGTACCATAGAAGGGGAGAAAACAAATATGTGAGTGTTGAGAGCCAGTAGAGTTGGAAAAGATTGCTGTGGTTTAAGTTACTGATAAAAGAGAAATACAGTTGCTTATAGAATATCCATTGTCGGGGAGCACACTAATTCTTCAAGCATTAGATGAAGAATTTACAATGTTAGGGCTGAGGATGTAGCTCAATGGTAGAGCACATTCCTTGCATGTGCAAGGCCCTAACTTCAGTCCCTAGCACTGCAAAAAATAAAACAAAAACTGTCATATGAGGGATTTTTGTGAGTTCATTATGATTTGTTTCTTTACATAGGGCTTATAACAAATACTCCTTGATAAAAGAGAGACCATAGATGAGTGTGTAAATTAGCAGTGGTAATTCTTTGGCAGAGAAGACAGCAAACAAGCCAAGTCTTCTAGTGCTGGAAGTTGATTCAAGGATAGGACCTAGAATAGGTAGAGATTGGAAGTAAGTCTCTGAGATAATCTTCCATAAATACCACTTCTCTCAATTGAGCCTTTGATAAGAGCAAACTCTCTGTGACAGATGCAAGGTTATCCTCTCTGAAGCAGGCCTGGAGGGCTGGTATTCTGTGTTGAGGCTTGCTGGACAAGGATGTCTTTCTAGTTTCTGTGTTGCTGGTAAGGTTCTGGGAACAGGTTCCTTCAGCACAGGTACAGCATTGTCACATGGAAAAAGGTAGATGAAGCATTTAGCAGTTGCAGTGATGTCTTGTTTCATTTGTCTGAAAATACATTTTCCCTTTGTATTGTGCATAACCTTCCGGAGAGCTCATCTTTCCGTGTTTGCCTGAAAGACAGCATAACAAGACACTGATCTATTCTAATTCTTGTGAATGCATTTTAATGCTATTCCTCCAACTTAAAAAGAAATCAGACTAAAATTATATAAGACGAGTACTCGAAAACTTTGTACTTCGCATTTCTGGCTTATGTTCTGCTCGTGAAACCGGAGTTAACCCTTTTACTGTTACTTTATGACATTGCGTGGCGCCCAGGTGCTCCAGACACCCATTATTTCTGCAAGGCTGAGTGAGTCATTTCCTGAGCCATTTTGCAAGTTATGACTGTTATAATCATTTTGCCAGCTTTGCCTGTCTCAGGTTCTGCCAGGTCAAATTGATAGGTCCCTCACTCACATAGGCAAAAGGAAAGAAACAGCGGACAGTTTGGTAGTAAATCTTATGTCAGAGGGATTAGCTGTGGGTCGCTTGGCAGAGTCCATGCTGGCTCAGTGACCTCGGTTTATGACAAGCTGCTCAAAAGATTAGTGGCATCCTAGGGCCTTTTCGTATGTGAAGGCTGAGACCTGAGTCAGTCAGTTCTTCCTTTCAGTTAGGTGTATGTCGCTAATTAACTTTATATATCAGTTAGCATATCTTCCCTCTATGGCTTTTGTGTGCATGCACGTGTGTGTATGTGTTACCGAAAATTGAACCCAGAGTCTGCACACTGAGCCCACATTCATAGCCCTTTTAATTTTTTTAAAGGCAGGATCTCACTAAGTCACTACCCAGGGTTGATTTGAACCTGTGATCCGCCTGCCTCATCCTCATTGAGTGCTGGGATTACAGATGTGTTCCACCATGCCTGACTTCTATGACTTTTCTAAAAGGTAGAAATTGTAACATAATTCTTCCCAAAAGGAACCCTTTAATTTTTTTAAAGATAAAATGATAGTGGTTTGAAAATGCTGCCTGGATGGCTTTTGGTTCTTCTTGTCATGGTGTGAAAGAGGGAGATCATGTCTGTGACCAGATGAGATCTGGTCTTCATCTTAAAATAAGACTCAGCCACTCAAGACATGGGTAGAACTGAGAAAAGACCAAACAGCCTTCTCATCATGGCTTTTTGCCAGTTCTCTTGTGTTGAGAACATATTCTTGATAAACCTTGGGGTGTTAAGCTGGCTTTGAGCAGGAGAAGAGATGAGACGATGCGCCAAGTCTGGCTGGGTAGCAGTTGATTAAATGAGTTTGTGAAGTGACCAGCAGCCTCGATGGACCTGGGCTGCACAAGAAGTTGCTGCTTCTTTGGCTGCTTTTATCCTGTATTCAGAGTCAGGTCCACACTTAGCAGCTGGTTGATCAGAAAGTGCTTTGGCAAAGATCAGATTCCTGCTTCATTGTCATCTCTATAAATCATGGTGTTAACTGCCCTGTGTTAATGCCCCTTCTGGCTCTAAAGTTGTGTGATGGGTGCCCTTTCCCCAGTTCTTTGTATGGCAGGCTCCTCAGCTGTCGCATGTGTTAAATGCCTCTCCTCAGAGAGACCTTGCCCTGCCACCGAGCCATGATCACATCCCCTCTCTTTCTTAGCTTTCACCACCCTTTACAGCACTTCACAGAACTCTGTGATTCCTAATTATTGGCTATTTCACACACACCCCCCACACACTGTGCCCTCTGCTCACAGCATCTTTAACTCCTGAGTGCCTGACATTTAAGGCCCTCAGTAATGTATGAATGAATGAATCAGTGAATGAATGAATGAGTGGACAAATCAGTTACTGTAGTAGGATAATATTCTTCCCCTCCACTGAAAGGAGCATGGATTTGAATTGTAACTTGTTGCTTCTTGCCTCTGGCTTCAAGAACTTTTTTTGATGGCCAATGAACCCAGGTGTGCCCTGGATGTAATTCAGCCAGGCTCTTCTGAATCTGCTGGGACAGTTCCACATAATTTGACTTAATATGTTTCTCCCCTGGGGATTTGCCCAAAATGAAGTAGTTTATTGAGACTTGCCCGCAAGAAACATGAAATGAAACTAATGATTGAATTACACGACAAATGACTATGGTAGGTAGAAGGCAATTTTCTCTTCCTTAAGGGGCTGGTCTTTATAGTAAGAACGTCTATCTTTATTTGCCAGGTAATTAATGTCTCTGGCATTTGAAGTTATAAAAAAGAATAAGTACATATTTAGCAACTCATGACTCAGTGAGAAAGCATGCTGAACAACACAGAGCTTGAGTTCTCAAATGGAATCAAATGGAAGCAGAAAACTTGTGAAAGAGGATGCATACCTATTCCCCCTGCTTTCTTACACACACACACACACACACACAGTTTATTCAAACAGCTTTTTTCTCATACTTAATTGGGTAGATTTCCCCTCATATTTTGCTGCTTTTTGCTCATCAGTTACCTCCTTTATAATTCCTCTACATCTTTGCTAAGAAAATGTATTTTAAGTGCAGAATAAAACTCTTGCAAAATGTGCTGGTAGAACAGCAGTTCTCATGTGTTGCTGTGTGTTAAAGCTACCTGAGGAGCATTTCCATCATGCTCTCCAGTTCAGTGGGACTTTCAGGGGTTGTACCCAGGCTGTGGGCTGTTCCTGGTCCGCTGTTTCTTGCACTCATTGGGCCTCAGCTGGTTCCCTCAGGTGGAGACCTGAACATTAGCGGTCATTTCTGACTGAATATTTTCTGTAGAGACCCTGGGAGTAGGGGTAGGGAATGAATTAGGGTTGAGAACTCACATGGAACAGCTGCTGAGATATCAAAGAATAGATATTTTTAAATGAGTTGTTTGTAGTTTTTCTGAGCAAAAAGAACTTTCTTGTATGTGTCACCTGTTAGCCAAGAACTCTCACTTCAAGTTTTTTATTTTTAATAAATCAAACAATACAGAAAGACATTTTGATTGCTCGATCTTTTTCCCACAAAAGTTGTACCAGTCCTACTTCTCTGTTAAAAGTAACAACTGGTGCCAGTTTTGTGTCTCCTCACAGAGTGTCTTCTCTGGGTGTAGGTATCCATGGACAGATAAATCCACAGAAGTGTTAATGGTGTGTACATGCATGCGTGTGTGTATTTGTGTAAGTAAAGTTTTATGCCAATAATTCAGGATTTTCCTGGAAAGACTTAACAAAGAATGTAAGTTCCTTATCTGTCCCTTATTCATGATAGGGTAGTCAAATAATGACAGTTGTGGGATACTCTTATAAATATGATTTAATCATGCAAAACTGCAACTTTCTACCTTGTTTTCTACTCTGAATGGTATGTGCTGTAACTAAAGTGTCTCAAAAAGATGATTACTGCCTAGTGGGAAACACTTGGGAAATATTTACTAATTTTAAGGAGTGAGGGCCAGGGATTGAGCTCAGTGGTTTCGCCGCCTGCTGCGCAAGTGCAAGGACCCGAGTTCGATCCCAGGTACAAAAAAAAAAAAAAGGAGTGGTAATAACTTTTGTGGGCGTTTATTATTGTGGGACAGGACTTAAGGAAACCTCTTAAGTTCTTAAAGTTTTAATGTAGCTCAATGGTATGAAAATAAACGAGGTGGGGGAAACAGGAATGAAGGATTTGAAAAAGTCCATAACTCAACTGTGGTGGCTTGGAATGCCAAGGAAAGAGGCATTTCCCTTGAGTAAACAAGCACATTGCCAAATAGATAGCATCTTCTAAACTGGTAACCTTGATGTGGCGTGGAATAGGTTTTTTGGAAGGTTCATTTTTTAAGAACACTTAGGTATTTCACCATTTTAAGGTGGTTTGTGAATGTAGAGAAAAATGAAGATCACATAATGGGCCATGTTGAAGAGCTCATTGGACAACATTGACAAGCAGAAAAAAGAAGAAATCAGCCTATGATTTTTTTCCTTATCTACATCAGATAGATTAACCATTAACCATTTTCAGATATAACTCCCTTATATGTGAATAGCTCTAGCTTTTGCTGTTGTGCTCTGTTAAACCAAACTGCTTCTGTTAAACGAAAAAAAAAAAAACCACTTCTTATACTTGTAGATAAATGCCACTGTAGGTAAAGTACAAATGATACTGTGGTACCTTTTGTAAAGGCAGTGAAACATAAACACAGGCCTTTCTACATCTGTAGATTCACTGGGACTATCCTCTTTTGGAGCTGGTAATCCTAAGACCCAGTTAAAATTGAATCAGCTCCTTTGCCTTCCTCTGACACAGGGGTCTTACTTTATCTAGAAAAATAATTGTTAGCAGTTTGGGGCCAGAAAAGACCTCCATACCTTGGGACATGTGTACCTGAGAGATTGATTGGGAGGTCATTTCTTTAACAAGTGTTTGAAAAACCAAGAGGCTGACACTTATCTATAAAAAATGCAGTAGTTTTTACAGCAGCTTCTCTTTAATTGTGTGGCTACAGCATATGAGGTAAAGAACAAGGCAGCTTGTGGTAGCACTGTAGGGAGGACTATCGCGTGGAAGAGTCTGGTTGTGAATACCAGTGCTGACTCATGAATGGGGAAGAAATGGACAGGCGCCAAGTGGAGGTCAGATACCAAAAGTGGATATCCCCTTCTTCTGTGAAAGTCAGGAAGGTGGGTGGCTGGGGAGTGGGAAGTAATGGTGTGTTCCTGTCAAGTAGCCTCTGTGTCCTTAGACTAATGAGATTGGGAATGATAGGAGTGGAAAAAGCAAGAAGGTGACACTAATGAAAAAGTTAGGAAAAGGATGCTTGGACTTGAGATCCATGTATTTTATCCCAACAAAAGTATACAGGTACATTTCTACCAGTGAACATTTAATTGTGTACAGTATACATTATACTGAATGCGCTTGATAGCTAGTCTGAAAGGTTGTAGTGTTTGAAGGTCTATTCTGAATTGTGCTCTCAATAGTAACCTGAGAAAAGGACGTCCAGGTTTGAAGAGGCACTTGATGTCTATGAGTCTCTGAGTTGTTAGAGCTATCTGAATCCTCCTATAAGTTCCCTGAACCAAACTTTCCAGTGTCAAGCTAAAAATAATTTCAAGACATTATCTGTGAGGTTGCATCCTGCTAAAAAAGACACAGAGAGCAAGGGTGTAACGCTTGGCTTGTTCCCTAGCAGACATACCGGAAGAATGTCCAGCAGATGATGCAGTGTCTCATCCGCAAGCTTGCTGCTCTCAGTCAGTATGAGGAAGTCTTGGCTAAGATCAGCTCCACATCTGCAGATCGGCTCACGGTCCTCAAGACCAAGCCACAGTCCATCCAGAGGGATATCATCACTGTCTGTAGTGACCCGTACACGATGGCCCAGCAGCTGACTCACGTAGAGCTGGTGAGGCCCTCATCATCCTTGCCCTTTGCAGCCACCCACTGTGTTTGTTTTGGCAACCAGTGTGTTTGCCAGAAGTAGTGTCAGGATAAATAATCTACAAAACAGCTGAAACATGTTCTGTTTAGGCGTTGCAGTATGAATGCTTCTGATATACTGAGAATTTGCTTATAAATAAGTACCAGACAAGGCTGAAAACAGAGTTGTCCTCATCTTCTGCCTGTGATTAATTTTGCTGTAACTCACACAGTCTTCCATTATCTTGTAGAGCATTGACCCAAACAGAACATTGGCTCTGTTGAGACTTTGGTGTTGCTGAAAGTATTTAGGGTTAAAGGCTTATTTTGTAATCTGCATTAAGAAATGGGAGTGGTGCCCAAAGTCAATAGAGAAGTAGCCTGTTCATTTCTTTGCATTTTCTTTAAAACTCTCAACTCGCTGGATTCTTGTTTCAGGAGCGGCTCAATTACATTGGGCCAGAAGAATTTGTTCAGGCATTTGTGCAGAAGGATCCTTTGGACAATGACAAGGTAATAAGTTCAGTCCTGAAACTAGAAAGTGAACTCTTTAATCTGTGATAATGAGTGTAAGACCTTGTAGTTGAAACTATTGTTTTAGGACTTAAAATCAGAAAGAATTTTTTTCATTAGCCATATGTGATTCCTTGCAGTTTTTCTTGAGCAAGGTCTCAGAGTGCCTTTACAGTATTCTTATCCTTTCACTAGCTTTTACCCTCTCCTTCTCCTTTATTGGGAAATTTAATAAGCCCTTTACAGCAAGTAGATGCAGGCATTTCTCATGATAAAGGCAGAAGATGAAAGCATAATGGTTTTATCTGTCAGATAAAGCCAGAAGGAAAATAAAAGACAATGCTTTGCTCATGATTCAACAATAGGAGGGGCAAGAAAGACAGGATGTGCATCCAGCTTGCTGAGCAAGGCTCTTCCCTGCTTTGCCTCTTGTTTTTAGGTGAATCCCCCATGACAGGTTTATGGTAAAGCCCACACATAAAGAAAATAATACTGGACACAGACTGTTAAATCAGTGATACATATACAAGAAGTTTCACTCCAGGGCCTCTAGAAACATTTGAAATTGTTAGACAAAGACTATGTCACCCACTCATGAAAGTCACCTCTGCGAGTCGGGGCAACAGCTGTTTTCCGGCCTTAGAATAGTTTCTCTCAGTACGGGAAATGAAGGATATGTTTTGCAATAGGAGGCTGGTGGACTTTGTTGTTTGGATCTTTTCGAAGGAAGGAAAGAGGACTTAATGAACCTCTTCAAGCTTGGCCTTGAACTCCAGAATGAGATGAACTTCTTTTGCTTTTGAACAATGTGTCACTCACCTTACTAAAAACCATTATGTTGTAGGGTTCCATTTATCTTCTTTGGAAGATATTTAGTTTCTTGGTCCATGATGTTGCAGAACTTTGTTATACAACTTAATTTTAGGAGAAGGTTTTCTAGTCCAGTGTGCATGGCCTCTCTCCTTGCTGTGTAGATAGCAGTGGCTATTTGCACCTCATTAACCAGTCCAAGATTGTTTTAGAATTGCATGGGTTATGCTTTTATGAACAGATCCTATCCAAGTTGATCGATATCCTGAGAAGGCAGGGAAAGGTACTTTTATGCATGCAGTCCAGTGTATGTCTAGACCTCAGGTTTGATGGGATCGTCCTAGGAGATTTTGGTATTTCTGTAAGGAAAATCAAGAATGTTAGTGGCCCTCTCTCTCTCTCTCTTTCTCTCCCTCATGCTAGAAAGCCTTCCTAATCCATAAACTGAGAATGACAACTTCATACTGACAGTGAGACCCATATACACGTGCATTCTCTTTTTCTTTAACTCATCAGTTCACTTTGCTTTCTCTACAGAGCTGCTACAGTGAACGCAAGAAAACACGAAATTTAGAAGCCTACGTGGAATGGTTTAATCGCCTAAGCTACTTGGTTGCTACAGAAATCTGCATGGTGAGAAAATGAATTTTCCCTGCTTCTTAGCAGTCAGTGTGACTTTACTTGGTTTATGTTATCTGCATACTTGCTTTCCATCTCTGGAGGCTACAAGTTAGATAACTGCCCTCTATTGTCTTTTCCTGTGTAGCCTGTCAAGAAGAAACATCGAGCACGAATGATCGAGTATTTCATTGATGTGGCTCGAGAGTGTTTTAACATCGGCAACTTTAATTCCTTGATGGCGATAATCTGTGAGTCTTTTCTGAAGGATTTGTGTCCTCTCTTTATGGGACCTGTGAAATATATCCACTGAAAATCTGTAAAGAGTACAATTTCTGAATCATTTCTGAATTATTTTAGGAATTCCTATTTCCTGAATTATTTCAGGACTGTTCCGAGTACCTCAAGTAGCCACAGTAATGCAATGTATGGTTATTTCTTAAGTATGCAAGAATTTATGGAATACTTTCAATTTAACCTCAATCAAATACTGATTATAAATGCTGAAAAATGAATGCCCATCTAAATAAAGGATTTTAAAGAGTATTTGAGAAGCTTATATATCAAGTATTAGAGAAATATATGACCTGAGAGTAAGTCATATGATTTCATTATCAAGGTTAAGAGATTGGCCTAAAAGATTGAACAATTTCTGACTGCCCACACTCCTAGCACTTACCAGTTCAGACCTTACTATTCCAGTTACAACAACTTGCTATTTTAAATTATGGGGATTTTTAATGCCAGAGACCCTGTTTCCTCCCATTCACTCTATTACAGTGGGTCAGGTAGTAACTAGTTTTTGTTGCTCATGTTTATACTTGTCATCTTGGTATAATTATTGATGACTCTCATTAGTAAGTATATTAGTTTATATGACAAATTATATGGTCATCCTAAATGTTGTAGGTGCTCAGTAAATATTTGAATAAAAAACAAAGAATTGGGGTCAGTTTGAAGCTAGAGAATCTACCAGATTTAATTCAATAATCACAATCCTGATAAATTCCCCCTTCACTAGTTCCTTTTTTTATTTTGTTTGTATATCATTGCCCCCTTTCACCCGCCATAACAACACTGGCCAAGTAGACATGAAAATAGTGAACTGAGAGATCAGTTAAGTCAGGGAGTTGAAAAGTCCATGGTCTAAGTAGTGGAAGGTTACTTAATTTCCCTCTTTCATCATTAAGAGAATATCAAGGCAAGCCACAGTATGGGAGAAAATATTTGTAATACATCTAACTGATAAACAACTTGAATCTAGAATCCATAAAGAACCCTACAAATCAATAAGAAGACAAATACTGTAACCAAGTGAAAAACAGGGCAAAAGCCTTGAACAAATATTTCACAAAAATATGCTCACTTAGAAATGGTACTCCATAGCAGTAGTCATCAGGGAAATACAAAAATTAAAATCACAAAAAATTAAAATCACAATGAAGAATTATTTCATACACTGGAATAGCTAAAATTAAAAAGACTGGTTACACCAAATTTATTGAGGATGTAGAGCAAGTGAAGGGAGTATAAAATGGCACTGCTTTGTAAAACTGTTTGGCAATTAATCATATGGCTATCCTGTAATCTAGAAATACCACATACTGATATATTTAGTTCCTAAAGATGCAAACACATGTTCACAGAAAGATTTGTACTAGAATGTATGTAAGCAGCATTATTAAGAATAGCCCCAGAGGGCCAGTGATTTAGCTCAGTGGTTCCACCGCCTGCCTCGCAAGCTCAAGGAGCCGAGTTCGATCCCCAGTACCAAAAAAAAAAAAAAAAGAGTAGCCCCAAACTGGAAACAATCTAAATGCCCCCATTTACAAGTGAATGACTGAATAAACAGTGGTATATTCATATAATGAAATATTATTGAGCAATTAAAAATTAACAATTGACACATATAAACAGCATAGATAAATTCTATAATCACGATGCTGAGCAAAAGAAGCCAGGCACAAAAGTCTATGTCCAGTATGATTCCATTTATGAGAAGTTCTAGAGGAGACAAGGCTAATCTGTGGTGGTGGACAATAGCTGCTTTGATCTTTTGGGGGTTAGAGAAGACTGAAAGATGGTCCAAGGGAGCTTCCTGGGATGATGAAATGTTCTACTGGATCTTGACTGGGGAGGGGATACATAGACTTAGACATTTTTCAAGTTCATTGAATTGAATATGTAAGATCTGTGTATTTTTCAGTGTATACATTTTTACCCAATTAGAACTGTACCTCTTCTAGTCCTTAAAAATGTGAAAGTTGGTGACATGGAATTACTCACTTAGGTTGATGTGGACACTTTTTCCACTGCAATATTTTTCCAAATGGCTGCAGTATGTAAAGTTATTATTCAGGGGAGCCCATGAGGTGTGTACTGTAGGGATGAGTGTGGGTTATGGAGTTGGCTTGGTAGAAACTTCCATTCCTGCTACTGCTTACGTGGATATTCTTTGGAAAGTTTCTTGCCCACGAACCACAGCTTATTCATGTAGGAATGTTCAGTGGGATATGTGAGATGACACATGGGTGACACCCGAAGCTGTATGTCAAGGGTCAGGAAACTACAACCTGTAGCTCACTCTGGCCCATCATTATTCTTTTTTTTTATGGCCGGTGAGCTAAGAGTAGTTCTTATATTTTTAAATGATTGAAAAATAAAAGAAAAAAGAATTATATGTGAACATAATATAAATTCAGATTTCAGTGCTCATAAATAAAGCTTTATTGGAACACAGCCATACTTGTGTGATTTTGTAGTTACCTGTGGCTGCTTATGCACCATTAACAGGGCAGTGTTCTGCAATTGTGCCTTACAAAGCCTAAAATGTTTACTGTTCTTTTCTTTAAAAAAGAAAAAGTAGGACCAGGGGTTTAGCTCTGTGGTTCTGCCGCCTGCCTCGAAAGAGTACAAGGTCCCGAGTTCGATCCCAGGTACCAAAAAAAAAAAAAGAAAAAGAAAAGAAAAAGTACTCACCTTTGCTCAAAGTTATGTTGTTTGTGGACTGAGAAGTTTGCAAGAAAAAGTTATAAACTTGGAGTTTATTACTTGTTAATAATTTGCAGAACTTAATTGCTTATATTTAGTAATGAGCACTATTCAGGGTATAAGGTAGAATGGCTTTTCTTACATCTCCATTTCAAATTTCTCCCCCTCCCCCATGCATGTTGAATGGAAAGCTGGCATGAACATGAGTCCAGTCTCTCGACTAAAGAAGACCTGGGCCAAAGTGAAGACTGCGAAGTTTGACATTCTTGAGGTGTGTGAAGCTGTTTTTGACTGTTAATGTTTTAGACCCAGAAAGTGGGATTCCTCTAATGTGATCTTGCCCCTCAGTCAGATAGCACTGAAGAAGAAAAACCCTTACAGACCTAGGGGAAGGAGAAGGGTTTGAACTAGAGGTAGGAAAATAAACAGATTTTGGATTAGTCCTTCCATAAATAGAGGTGACCATTTTGGGGTAATAGACTGGACTAATGCTGACATTATATACCAGAATAGAATTGAGGTTCTTAACAGCAGTTTTACTTCCTAGTTTGCCCGCTAGCTTCATTTATTTATTTGTAATGTGCTAGAGAAGTGTTCTTCATCCATCCAAAATATTCATTCACCATCCTTTCAGCAAATTTAGTTAACTTATGAAAATATTTTCCTATATAATTCTGAGGGTAGTCAGAGTTGTGGCACAGGGGTATGAGTGTTAGAATTAAATTCATCTTCATGTTATGTAAACGTGTTGATGCTTTCAGTCTGTGTCTTAGGAAATAATAAGCATTCTTTCCCCAGTTTTCCTCTAAATTGGGAATTATTGTTAGACATATTATGTGATGCTTTATTCAAGTTATCGAATACATTTATTTTCCATCTTGCAATATGGTTTGCATCCATTACTTTCGAATGATTTGTTATAAGGTGCAAAGAACAAGTTCACTACTAAATGTTGGATCATTATACATGGATAACCATCCCCTGGCCCATTGACCTTCAAATGAAACCAGGAAATTTTTCTATTTTGACTTTTTGTTAACAGTTCTAGATTTGATCTCAGTAATCAGCCTAGATAGTTTTGGTTTAGGTTTAACATCATCAAACCCAACATCAGCTTTTAAAAATAAAACAAATGTTGGGATAGAAAACATTTATGTTCTGATTCTGATGTTTTGCATGCTTGTGTATATGAAGGGATAAATCATATTCCTAATGAGTTCCCACACTTATTTAGAAATTTTTTATGTATAGTTACATGTGAGAATTTGTAAACATTTACAGGTGAGAATTCATAGCTAATACTCTTCTCTTCTCCACAGCATCAGATGGACCCTTCCAGCAACTTTTATAATTATCGAACCGCTCTTCGTGGGGCAGCACAAAGGTCTTTAACTGCTCATAGCAGCAGAGAGAAGGTGTGTGCTTTGTGTAGTGTGTTCATTATATAACTGCTATATTTTATACTGAAATGTGATGTGAACTACATCACTGAGTTTCTTTTACATGTTCAGATCACAAAAAGATGTATACTATAGAAATCTCATTTCTCGCTACATAGGGAAGAGGGTTGCTAAAGGAAAAGATAAACTGTGAAAAAGGAAAGGCAACTTGATGTAGAACTTTGCAAACATATATTACTGTGTTATTATTACATTACTGAAATTCTTATTCTAGAGTGTGTCTTAGTTGGGTTTCAGGCAATGAATTAATATGTTAAGGTGACTAATAGCATTAGAGAGTAATTTGGTTTAATGGAAAAATAGACATTTAAGCTCTGCAGAAGATGGCTGACTTAATGTAACCTTTTCTCCTAAAGAATTAGCTTACCTCCCACGGTTAAGTCATTTATTTTCAGAAAGTAGGTTAGTTGCCTGAGCATTAGCCCTGCTGGTACTAATTGGATATGTAGGAGGCACGGAAAGTTATAAGGCTGATGTCTGAAAAATTAAGTATCCTTCCTGTCTCCTCTACCCTTGTACAAGTTAAAGCTGTCCTGCATCTACCATAATCTTGACATTGAGGGTCCTTATTGGGCACATTTCTGTGTCATCTTTCCTCACCAAGAATGATAAATTGTTTTGCCATTCGGCCATCATGTTACTTAAGAAGTACATACCCAGTTATGATGAGGGTTACTTGATGGATCTAATCTTCTGTTTATATTCTTTCAACTGAAACTATATCTTCAACAACAAAAAAAGAGGGTAAAAAATGCTTAATGGCATCTTAGTCACTCCCTCCACCCGAAAAGTTTCAGTCTTGATGATCTGAAACAAAAACAAATACAAAACTCCACCTTTGAAAGATGCCAAGTTATTTCTCAACCAAATCTGCTATGTCAGTTCTGATAATGTTTGAGAGATACTGTAAATCCACTAGCCTTTTGTTCTTAATGGAAACTACAATAGCCTGGCAAAGTTTTCTAAACCACAGTACTCCTGTCTGGGTTGACAAAAGGCCCAATCTGAAGTTGCTGAACTTTCAGAACGTCTGCCCATACACGGGCAGATCCGGAAGGGAAGGATGCAATGGAAGCTATGGGTGCCCATGTCCACTGCTCCTGGGCTGGATGTCAGGTGCTCTCTGCATGGCCCTCGATGGAATTTGGGGATCCTTGGCTCTGTTTAAGGGAAGAGCCCAGAGACTCATGTTAGGGAACTGCCTCAGTGGCCAAAGTAATTCTAAAGTTCAGCCATCCCAAGAGACATCACTTGTGGGATCCTCACAGCTTTTTCCAGAAAGGGTCCCAAGTATTTACACTTCACATCATTTCATGTATTCTATCTCAATTAGTTTATTTATTTATTTAGGTACCAGGGATTGAACTCAGGACCTTGCGTTTTCAAGGCAGGTGTGGTGCCACTGAGCTACATCCTCAGCCCAATTAGTTTATTTTTTAACCAGTTCTATGTGAGCATGTAAACTGTAGTCTGTGGTTCATAAAACAACTACTATCATAACTTCCTAAAGAACACACTGTTTCTTTATTAATTGGTCTCAAAAGAAGAAGAAGAAGAATGAAAACATTTCTGGTCAAGTCTCTTTTTTGTTCAAGAAGATTGGGATTTTAAAAAAATGTTTTGAGGCCAAAGAGCACATATTTTATTCCAAATCTCCTACTTGACAGTCTTTCTGATAGCATAACTAGAATAGAATCAGATCTTTCAAATTTCAAGTTTATATGGTTAAGGAAGCACATTTCTCAGTATCTATTACAGAGCAAATCAAATCTGTCTTCTATCCAGGAGCCCTTAAATGTACTCTAAATGGCTTCTTTTTCTTGGAGTTACCCCTTCTTGAAGTTTCTAACCATTCTTCACATGATTACTTGGCTTCCAATCTTCTGTTTGTATTTCTGCATGTCTGTTCCTGCCTTTCAACCTTCATTTCTAGGTGTGAAACCGATACCTTTAAGGAACACTTGCTGACTCCCTGAGTTAAGAATATTTTAAGGGGAATTAGGAAACATTATTACTTGGAAAGTTCTTCCACTAAAGGGATGATAGGCAAGACTTTCTAGAAACCAGACATACTCTTTTACAAGTAGTTTGTACATGCACTTAAATCACAGAGATCCAAACATTTTTGCTGTTAGATTTGTATAGAGGCTGCTGATCTGATGGGGATGAGCCATGCTCAAGTGAGAAGTTGAAGAAGGCGACTTCTTTCTTGCATCTGGGCATAAGGAACATGGCAGCGAGGTATCTTAAGTGAGATTACTTACACTTTGGTCTCCTTGGAAGAGTGGCTCAGCCACTCAGTTATAGAACATATTTCTTTTGGGTGCCCGTGAATGTAAAAATCACATAACCTCTGCCACTCAGAATTTATAATCCAGCTAAAGGCACGTAGCATGAACTTAGAAGTTTAACTATCCATATGAGACAGTAAATGATCATCACCCATGAATCTCATAGCCCAGGGCCAAAGAATACAGCACAGAAATAAACTTCTCTCTTCAAAGCTGCTATAATGCACAAATATTGCATCTTCATTATAATTTTGTTCTCATTTCCGGGTGATTGTCTTTTGAACATATCTTTATTATCTTCTAAGTGCCTACTCAACTTGAATAGAAACACAAAGCAGGCATTGGTTATGTGTAGATGTAAGGGCATGGCAGTGTTCCAAGAAGCTCAATGGCCACTATAATTTGAATTGCACATCATTTTCGTGCATCATAAAACATTATTCTTTTGATTTTTTCCCCAGCCACTTAAAAATGTAAGATATATGGCTCCTAGGCCACAGTTTGCCAACTCCTGGCTTTTACCACTAGGGCAAATCATGGAGCCTTATTTTAAACTGATGTCGGACAGAGTCCAGGGCCCAGCCCTTTTCCACCCAGGTATAGTTTTTCCAAGAGGCAAGGTTCCAGTGTACTTTTGTCATTGTTACTATACCTGCTTAATTATAACACAATAGAGAAATAGCCAGTAACATTAAGAGAAAGCCATGACATCCCTACTAATTCAACTTTAGAGACAGACAAAAGCAAATGATAAAAAGTATATTCAAGTCATAGTGGTACACACCTGTAATCTTACACTCTGGGAGGCTGAGACAGGAGGATCGCAACCCCAGTACTACAAAAAATAGATAAATATATATATAGAAGGTTGTTGCAGCTAAAGACTCAATTTAGTTATTTTCAGAGATCAGTGAAACAAAATAAAATAAAAGCTTGTTATTTTTAAATTGCTTTAGGGGAAATTTTGAATTTCTCTCTAAAAGTGAATTGATACTTAATATTTTTGTGTGTGAGCCAAAAAGTATATTTTCCCATTCGTTTGGTATAGAAGCCATGGTACCACAAGTCATAAGCTTAGAAAACATCCAAAATAAGACAGATCCACAATCTGTGGTTAGTGCATTATTTGCGTGTACAAAATTTCAAATCTTTTTTTTTTTTGGTACCGGGGATCGAACTTGGGACCTTGCGCTTGTGAGGCAGGCACCGAAACCACTGAGCTAAATCCCCAGCCCCTGAAATCTTTTAAGATGTGTTGGCATTTGGGAGAAAATGGAAGCTACTGCTTATGAGCAGGTTTAGTAGGATTCAGGGGGCATTCTTAGAGATTATTATTTTATCTTAATTAGTTAAATACCACTTCATCAAACCAAAGTCTTGATGCAGAGAAGTATTATTAAAGAAAGTTCATTGTTTTCAAAGTCATTAAATTTAATTTACACATTTGTACTCCTTCACTGTGGCACGTCTCACAGCATTCTGTACTGCTGTTTCTTAGGAGCCTTTCCCTGACAGGTGCCAAATTGCTCTCATCATGGGCCAGTCTTGCTCAAAAAGGAGTTTGTAGAACCTTAACCTTGAGCTCTTACATTGTCTTAACTCATATCTTCAAGGGTAAAGTAAAATCACACCAAAAAAAAAAAAAGTTCATCTGAAATGTAGATATCCAAATGATGTAGTGATAGAGTGTAGGAAAGAGATGGGTCCCAAATCTTAAAATCTTAGTGCTTGTAGAGTTAAGTATTCTATTAAGACTTAACAGTTGGGCATGGTGGTGCACGCCTGTCATCCCAGCACTCAAAAGATTGAGGCGTGAGGATCGCCATGAGTTTGGGGTCAGCCTGGGCTACATAGAGAGTTCAAGGCCAGAGACCTTGTCTCAAAAAGTAAAATAAAAAACGAAACAAAGAAAACTAGGAAAAGCACTCACCTCTCCACCTTCTAGCACTAGTTGTTCTTGCTGTGCATCTTGGGCAGAATTATGTGAAGGAGGAAACTGCTATTGTATGTTGTATGCAGACCACTGTACCTTAATTGATTGTGGGCTTTTATGCAAGTCAAAGTTGAAGTTGTTCATTAATCCCTTGTGCTATTTGATGCCCAGACAAACCAGACTCTTTTGTTTTCTCTAGATTGTGATACCGTTCTTCAGTCTCTTAATCAAAGACATTTATTTCCTCAATGAGGGCTGTGCCAACCGCCTTCCAAATGGCCATGTCAATTTTGAGGTGAGTGGGAACAAGAAGGGCACAGGGTGAGGGGTGACTTTTGAGAGCTGTACCCCAGGCTGGCAGCCAGTGCTGATTCTGCAGTTGTAATTTTCTCTTTCCTTATTGTTTTGTAAGAGATTAACAAGTAGAACATAGTAGCTGCACCATTATTGTTATTCATTGATTGAGAGAATTTGAATAAATTTAAACCTGTATTGAGCTAGCAAATAGTTTTTATTAAGTTAAGAAAAGTATCTAATTCAGAAGTTGAAAAACTAGAAGGAAGCATCTTACGTGGAATTGGCTTTTCCAAGCTGATCATTTTTGATGATCACTTTTAAAATTCTTCTCTTTCATTCTCTTCCAGAAATTTTGGGAACTGGCCAAACAAGTAAGTGAATTTATGACATGGAAGCAAGTGGAATGTCCATTTGAGAGGGACCGGAAAATCCTGCAGTACCTGCTCACAGTGCCCGTCTTCAGCGAAGATGGTAAGGTTACCCAGAGGGCACTGCCCCAGCAGCCCTGAGTCCTGCTTATTACTGTATAAATGCTTAGCTCCTCAGAAAGTGTGAGGCCAGTCCACCGGTCTGTTCCACTTGAAGAGTTTTTCATAACACAGAAAATGTCAAGATTTATCCCTAAATATCTTCACTTAATCTTCACCCATAAACAGTACATTTCCATGTTGAACACCCTTTAGAGTACGTCATTTGCAAACCTTTGGGCATAACTGGACACTTATGGAAGGGTTTTTTTCTCCTTTTTTGGGCTTCTTCGGTGGATAAAAAAGGTGTTTTGTGTTTTGTTGGTAGTCAGGGTAGTTTGGAAGCGAGAGCGAACCAAAACAGTAAACTCTATGCTACCCCCTGCTATTTGAAAAAGCAGAGAAGGGCCGGGGATTTAGCTCAGTGGTTTCACTGCCTGCTGCTCAAGCGCAAGGACCCGAGTTTGATCCCCGGTACCAAAAAAAAAAAAAAAAAGAAAGAAACAGCAGAGAAAAGTTTTGACCTATTAAAACACTAGGGAAATTAAGGCAGAAAAAAAAGTGATTAAATATGTACAGAAAAAAATCACCAGAAGAGAGAATTTGTAAAAGACTTAGGGATACATTCTACTGATTTGTTATATCCTAACATTGTGTGATGGTGGTTTCTCATGCTAGATTGATAGTGTTTGCAATTATGAAGGCAGATCATTTTTAATTAATATTGCACACATCAGAGGGAACCTGATTGCTGTTAATCTCTATAAATAAGATTAATAACAGCCTTTTAAATTTCAGGTGAGGATTCTTTCTGATTTAGAAAGGAAGAAAAACATAACTAGAAGGATGGAAAATTATCCTAGTACTAAAAGTTTTAAAAAACTGACAGTTCCAGGAAAGTACTGCAGCCCCTTTCTTGTAAAGAACATAAACCTGAATGTATGACAGTAGTATGTGATTTACATGTTCCAAGCTTTTTGGCTTTATGAGTTCTTAATTAATTAAGTGCCCTTTTGGCCTAGCAGCCCTTGGGTTTTTGTTGAGATGGTCAAGTTGCTCTTCTGTGTTCCTCTCTGTCATCAGTTGATATCTTAAAAGAGTGTGGTTTTGTTGTTGTTGTTCTTGTGTTGTTTTTGTACTGGGATGGAACTCAGGGTCTTCACAATAAGCAACATTCTCAGCCCTTTTCTTTTGATATTTTTTATTTGAGACAGTCTTGCTAAGTCATTAAATTGCCCAGCTGGGCTCAGACTTGCAGTCCTTCTGCCTCAGCCTCCCACAGTGCTGGGATTACAGTTGTGTCACCACACCCAGCTAAAGAATGTGTTTTGCTGGGGACCGGTCTTACAGTGAACAGGGGACAGAGGTTGGTGGGTACTGAGTCAGGATAAGGCCCCGGTGTTAATGCTTTCTTTCTTCCTGCAGCTCTCTACTTGGCTTCTTATGAGAGTGAAGGACCTGAAAATCACGTAGAGAAAGACAGGTGGAAGTCTTTAAGGTGAGTTTCATTCCTTCTCCTTGCTGTGTATGTCCGCAGGAAGGGTTGGTGTTGCTCGAAGGAAGCCCCCACCTACCTGTTCCAGTCCCTTTCACCTTATCCTCTGCTAGCCAGATCTTTGTGTCTTAAAAGTCCCATTGCCATGATTCAGGTTTATTGCCTTTGATCTATTTGTTTATTTTTATACTGGCAGATATACAATGGCTCTGGTTTTTTTTCTTGCATTATGTAATAGAATGAGGACTTGAAATTAATCACCCTGTAGTATGGTTAAAAAAAAGAAACTATTTTTCTTTGTCTAAAAGATGAGAAGTTCAGACCTTATTTCTGAATAGTTCTTCTAATTCAAAGTTTATTTGACCTGAGGAAAAAAAAAGAACATTTTACTGGTTAATATTGGGACCAGTTCAAGTTAATAAAGTTGGGGCATCACTTTCCAATCAGATGTTCAGTCCCCTCTTTTGTTTGAGAAAGAGAATTGGGACTTTAGGTACTCTCTGGAGTTTTTCCAATTTGAAACTTTTGCTGTTCTATTAATATTTTCAAACAAAACCTGTAAGCATTTGTATTTTAAGCATGTAAGATACTTTAATAGATAAAATAGCCCAGAACATAGTATAAGACACTCTAATCCAAATTGCTATCACTGTATTTCTACTAAAACACTCTGCAAATGTATACTTTTTTGAACATGATTAGCAAGCAGATTTTCTCTACTTCTTTTTGTGGTCCTAGGGTCATTTAGGAACTTGCATTATACTTAATGTTAGGCTAGATTGCATAAACCTACAATACATGTGATTTTGTGTGGATTTTAATAGTTTTCAAGGAAAATTTAGGCCTTGTTTTTCCATCTCAGTGAGGAGGGACGGGGCACAGAGGCATTGGGATTACTGCCCCTAGAACGAGTCCTGAAGATGGTAAAGGATTGGAGCTGTTTCTTATACCCCTAGCCATAGACATAAAGAAGGGGTGGCTGATGTCTGGAGGCATAGGAATATAACAGTCTTACTAGGTTTATTCCCAATTCACAAGTCTATTTTTTAAAAAATTTGTGCCTGCTATTTGCACATTTCAATTGAAATTTTGTATTACTTTGTGTATATATTAAAAGGTATTTATTGTATCATTTACTAATTTTCATGTGCACATATAGACCTTTGGAGTACATGTCTAACTGTATAAAAATTTAAGAATTATTCCTTCAAATTATCAGTTTTAGGTGAATTTTGCCTTCCACATTGCTCTTTTTTAGTCCACATTTTCTTCTTCTTTTTAAACATCATGGTTGGTGAGGTTCTGTATAGCTTAGTTATTGTTATTTTTCTTATAGATTAAAAAATTAATTAAACTTATTGGCTTTGCAGAATGGCACTTTGTTATCTGCCTTAATATAGCATCCAGACACACCTATAATTCTTTTTTAAGTGTTTTTTTTTTTTTTTGGTACCGGGATCGAACTCGGGACCTTGCGCTTGCGAGGCAGGTGCCGGAACCACTGAGCTAAGTCCCCGGCCCTATAATTCTTTTTGAACTGTTGCTCTTTTAGGACACACTGCTACTGATTAGTACTTAGGTTGGAAGGCCTCCTAGTTCCAAGGTTTGACAGTAAAAGCTGAAGACTGAATTGCATAATCTCTTCCCATATCTCTATGTACCGCACATACAGGATATAGTAACATTGGACATTTGGTTAGTGGAAATGTGACCAGAGAATTTAGAAATGTAGGTGAAAAAGAAAGAGCAATGGCTTACATTCAGACATGAATCCAGCAGCCTACAGTATCTGCAGTTGTACTCCAAGGTGCTCAGTAATAATGCTTGTGATAAAAGTAGATTAGGGGACCAGCAGTGGCACAAATAAAATATATGTTATGTAAAGAAATAGGTATGTAAGCACAGTGAAGATGCATTCCTTGGAATAAAAGACCGGCTTCCATGCTAACATAGTTTCCTGAGGAGGCCCTAAGAACAGATTCTCCTTGGTGCCTGTGTGAGCCGTGAGCTCGGCCTTCTCCACACCCCACTTATTCTCCTGACACAGGTCCAGGCTCCTGTCCCCAGCCAGTCTCCTTCAAGAAGGAGAAATGCATGCACTTGGAAGGTGGTCCTCCTCTTCTCGTCCCAAGCTGCAGGTCGTTTTGTGCAGTGTCTGTCCTGCCCTGGGCATACTGTCTTGCACGACCTCTGCTTGTTAACCCTTGATAAATAGGGTGGAGGTGATGATATTGGGTCACTGCACGTGTTGGTGATCAAGGCATAGCAACCGTAAGTGGATAATGCAAAGAAATTGGGATGATGTGATTAGAAAAACCACTTATATTAAGTGGCCACTAAATATTCTAGAATCACAGTACCTACTTGAAGACTTGTCTACACATTAGCTTTGGAGGCAATAAGATCTTTGTGCATACACACTTTGCCTGCTGTCCCTAGAGCCATTGGTTGCACACACGTCAATGGCAATGCCACACCCACCTCTGACTTCAGACACCTTTCTTATCACAAACAATTTCATTGCTCCCCTGTGGTTATAGGAAGTGTTGGAGAAGAGGCTTTTATCTACTAAATGAACCTTTCTATAAGAAGACTAGTACATATCTTTAAAGCTTTTCCTTAATGATCTTTGCTTTTTTGTTTCTGTTTTAATATAAAACCACTCAAGATGCATCTATAAACACAGTTTTTGCCATCTTCCTTCATAGCTATTTAAGTGGCTAGCAATTTTTCTGAATGGCCAGGAAGATTCAAAGCTTGATTTCCACCTGCTCTGGTTTTAGCTATGTAAAAATAAATTGAAAACCTAGGAAAGATGATATTAACATTAGGTAACTACTAGGCAATTAGAATTGACTCCTCATGCAAATAATCTGCTGCCTTCTGTCTTATATGGTTCTCTTTGTCCTCTAGGTCGAGCCTCTTGGGCAGAGTTTAACACATGGGAGCTGCTGCTGCTGCTGCATCGCACAGATCATGCAAGGGCCAACTTTTGTCTTCTGGCATCTAGAACTACAATCATGAGGACTCTGTAGGCCTTGGAATGCTCTGGTCGGCAAAACAAGAAAGCTCACTCCAGAGCAGATGGGAAACCTATTTCCCACAGCTGACAGATTGACTTCAGATTTTTGTGAGATTGAAATGTTCACTGAAGACACTTGAGAAAGAATCCTCTAAAGATCCTGGCACTGCATATGATTCATCTCCTGGAATTTCCATGTGAATCACAGCTCTGCACCGGATGGAGTTTTCTTTTGTGTGTGTGTGTTTTTTTATTTGGTTGAACTTTTGCTGCTAATGAGACTTACCCAACTGAGTGCTGGCTCTTAGGAAGCCCTAGTTCCTTTGTTAATTTAAATCAAAAAGGGAGAGGAGGGAGGGGGAAAACCCCCTCAGTTTAGATCCCAGACCTTAGCTCAAGCAGTTTTGCTGGAGAGGGGTAGCATTGGCTGGATGAGGACTTGCTTTTCCTTTAGTGTGCGCTGTGTTGTAAATTCCTCTCCTCCCTCTTCCTACAAGGTTTTGAGTTGGCTGCTGGTTAGCAAACTCCTTTTTACCCATATAAGTTATTTAATATAATAATGAAGCTCAACACTGTGGTAGGAAAATAGCCACTAGGAAAAAAAAGCAGAGTTTGTTGTTGTTGGACTCCTCACTAGAAGGACCTTTTTTGTTTCCTTTGCCCTTCTGAGCTGTTTACAACTGACCACTATGCTCTACAGATGTGTTTTTCAGAACTTTTTTGTTGCTAGGTTTTCCATGACACCTATTTTTTTTTCTTGTAAATTTAAATGCCCTGACTTTAAGGGTCTTGAAAAAATCATGGCATAATCACAATTTTTAAAAAAACAGACTTTCCTACTCTGTTGGTGACTAAGTATGTAAACAAAAAATAAATTGGAAAAGTTGCCTCCTCTCCCATAGCAGTGAACAAAACAGTGAAAAACACATTGCTATTAACTCAATGATTGATCTAATTGTGAAATAGTTCACCTATGTGAAACATCTAAATAGGTCTGTAGTGCTCTGCAAACAGCTGTCGTGTATATTTACTCTAGAAGAAACTGTAGAGTAGTAATCTATGCTGATGAAAAAGCAAAACACCATGTTTAAAACAGATGCATTTGCAAACTTCGTGATTTTGAGAAACAGAGCATGTGTGTGTGCTGTGTCATCCCAGCAGGCCCAGACCCACTCCAGTTGTCCTTTTACCACCATCAATATATTTTACACTCTGCGGCCAGGTGTGGTGATGTCTTTCTTTTCTTTTATGGATGGGATTGTTGGATGGGTTGGTTTTGTAGTCACAGTAGTTCAACTCAGAGTACTGCAGCTCAAAATCAGTACGTCCTTCAGGAAATGGCCTGAAAGAATGTGTATACAGGTATTTATTTTCTAAAAATGAATCATAGTAAACATTCGATAAACACCAAGTTTCCCTCAAAATAAGGCTTAACAGCCTTGAAAGCTAGAGATCAAAAATGCCAGCCTCAATCAGCCTATCCTTGCCTTCTCTGCCTTTACGGAGTAGCCACTGAGCAGAGAATAGTGACATATAATCTTCTGCATGACACTGGCCATCGCCATGGTAATGACCAGCTGGCGCTGATTTTCTGGTTAGGTCTTTTCAGGGGAAACACGGTAACATTTGCCAGGTATTTTATATGTATATAACACAGAGGATGTGCTTGTTAGCCCCACTTTTAGGTGTGAAAATGGCTGTATAATTAATAATAATAATAATGATAAATTTTTCCAAGACAGATAGTAGATGTGAAGGTACAAGGATTTGAACTGGGCCTTCTAATTCCAGAGCCCAAGTTTTCAACCACACCACTACAGGGTCTTCAGCTTTAGCAGCCTTACACATAGCCTGGTGATCTTGTTTACCCGAAGACTATATTAGGTTTGTCTGGGCTGGAGCCCAGTCCTGGACCCTGTGTAGAGTACGGGCACTCCTGTCTCATTTGTACCTGGAGATTTTAATTTATGGGGGAGAGGGAGGAGGGTGAGGAATGACACAGAGTGGCCAGTACCACCACGAAAGATTTATTTTGCATTGCTTGAGAGAAGAGGGCACAGTACACCACATGAAGGGCTGCAGTATCAGAACTCAGGATCTGAAATGAAAACCTAGGCCATGGGCTTTACTGAGGCTTCTCTGGGAAAGGGAAAGCAGGGCAGGGTAAACATTTAGGGCTGGCAAGTGGGAATAATTCCACCGGGCTCTGGGCAGTCAGGTAGTCTCTAGGTGCCTGGTATCTGGGCCTGGGATGACTGGGCAGGAGAAATGCTGGTATGGTATGTGACGGGGAGATAAAAGGGGCAGGGTGTAGACTAGGGATTAAATTAGTAGGTTGCATCTGAAAGGAACATTCTGTGCTGAGACTTTTGCCTCCTTGGTCAGCCCTGGAAGTGTTCAGCCAGCCAGACTTTCACTATGTCAATACCTCTTAAAGAAAATATAGAGATACGATTCATGCAACTCTACAATACCATCTCCTTTCCCCTTGCACTGTCTTTCCCTGAACTCTATGCCATTTAAGTTGATAGCACAAATGTTTATCTTTCAACTATTCCAGTCAGGGGTCAGCAAACTATGGGCCACTGGCCAAAGCAAGCCAGCTGCTTGTTTTGAATGACCTAGGAGGTAACAAACAGATGGGAAAAACTCAAAACAAGAATAATATCTCACGACACATAAATGTGAAATTCAAATTTTGTCCTTAAATAAAATTTTATTGGAGCCTGGTCACATTCATTTATTTTCTTGTGGTTGTTTTCCTCTACATCTGCAGTCCAATAGGTGTGACAGTCTGTGGCTCACAAAACTGAGAATATTTACACTCTGGCCATTTACTACATATATATATATATATATATATATATATACATATACATTTTTTTAAAAAAATAAGCTTTAAAAAGAAAGTTTAAAAAGTGCTAGAGTCTCTAATAAGCCATTAGATAACTTTAATGTGGCTGCAGAAGAAGTTTTTCTAAAATAGTATTAGACCTAGAAAATGTGATTCTAAGGCCATTTAAAGAAAAACTTTTTAGAGTTACCGTTGTGATATACAGACTCTTGGTTTATGTCCAGGTAAGCCAGGGATTTAAACCCTGTATTAGCTCATCTGTGAAAATCACTGAATATTCTCCCTCTACCATGTGTGTATTTGGGCTCAGCAGATTTAGAGATGCATTTGTAATTTACGTGGCTCAAGAGAAGCCTGGGTAAATATAAGCGTAAATGGCACCAGGTGGGCGGCTGATTCAGGCTGCTGCACATTCCAAAGCTGCAGCATCAGAGCCAGAGCTGGGCCTGGAGGGGCCCTCTGTACAAGCTGGCTGTAAAGGAGAGTTCTTTTTGCTACTGGAAGTACCCTCTCTTTTGAGATAAGGCCCAGTTCCCTAAGGGTGGCCTGTCTTCTATCTAACAAAGACAGCTTAATTGGAAATGTTATCTTGCCTTTGTCTTTGCAAATTTTTAGCTACACCTCTTCCCTTCTGGTTCTGGAACCTCTGCCATTTCCTCATACTCTTTTCTTCTGGCATACTTTTAATTCCTTCTTCTTCTAACTGCTGTCCCCATCCATGCCTTCTGTATGTAGAATCTCAAGAAACCATTGCCCACCACTGGAAGTTGAGTTGTTAACTATCTCAGAGTTTTGAGCTGCAGTTTATGAACAGCCTTTACCTTCCGCTTGGGGGCTCTTTGTTTACCCAGTGGCCTGTACCAACATTAAACAAAGCTTGCCTCTGTTCCAAATGCCTACTATTCTCGTAGATAATTTGCCACTGGGAATAGAAAAGAGGCTTAGGCCAATTTTCTGCTGGAGCTAAGGGTTCAAAGGAATTCTTGACTGTGTTTCCTGGGGAGGAAAATGTGGTTAGTGACCTGGAAAGTACTAACTAAATGTATAAAACTTGAAGATATGCTGATCACAGATCCATTAGCTTTACCTTTAAGAAATTTTAAAAGCAAAGACTTTGGTCAGACTCGACCTTCTAGAGTCATAATAGAAAATTGGGGCACTTCCTGAATGATTCAAGCCAATGTATTTTGGGGGGCTTTAAATGATTTTATAATTTCCTCAACTCTCTGCTTTGTGTAATCAAGATCACTTGGCTGTACTCAATGCTGACAAAGAGATATGGGGTTCAGGCTATTATTCATGCTTTACAGTTTAGGGACCTGTTGTTCAAAATTATAAATAAGACTGGGGCCATGTGAAATAGAATAGTGCCTTAATTTTGGGCTTAAGGATCAATTTTTAAAGGGTACATTTTAAAAAATATTAATGCAATGAGGAAATTCCCAGGTAGCTACTTCCCTCTTAAATGCTAGCAAACCTGAAATAATTGTTTCATTTCTCTAAGATCCTAGCGAGTAAGAAATTAAATATCCAAATGTGTACAATCACATTCTGGACAGTATGAGGCAGCTATCTTGGCATATTGTCAACTGTTGGCATACTTAAGTGTACAATCCAATTCAGCGTTTCTAGATGAAAGTTTATGTATCATAATTTAAGGAACTAAAGAAAAAGGAGATGGATACAGTTTTAGAATAAAGAGCAAAATTATGTATTCCTTGGTGGGTGCCGAACCAGAGGGTTTTCCACCATGAAACAAAGTTGATTCCTTTCCATCTTTCCACCTACACTGCTCGGAGAAAATGAAAGCATGAAATCACCTTTCTCTGGATGAATCATTGGGGGAAAGTAAATTTAGCAGCATGTGTTGTCAACCTAGTGAAGACACGCTAGTTGGTGGACCTTGGGCATTGTTAAATCTTTTGCAATGCAATCACCAAGCTCCTTAATGCAAGTCAGCTGTGACAGAGAGTTGGCATGAGCTCAGTAAATATATGTTGGAGGCATAAGCAGCCAATTATTAGTCTGGTTATCACTGGGGAGTCACAGATTTCATTTTCTTTGGTTGAATAAATTTCCAATGTACCCCTAAAACATTTAGATTTTAGAAATGAGTATAAATTGAAATGATTCCAATGTATTGTCATGGGTGAGCCCATCCCCACAGAAATCAGCAAATAAAATCCAGTAATTATGATTATTAATTATGTTAACACTGCCCTATTAGTATCAATAGTAAAGATAATAAATCCACCTTTAACAATATTAAAACAGATGAACATGGTCTATCTAGGTACATAAGATAAAATTTAATACACACTCTTAAGAGAACATTAGACTAAGAATTTGAGAACCAAGTGCTAAAACTCTCCCTAGATTTCTGGAACTTTAGGAAGGTCTTCCCCTTTCAGAACCTCAGTGTCGAGTCTGCAGGTAATGGGTCTGGACTAATTGCTGTGGAATAGGCTGTGGGGGGTCTGTGGTTTTCAAAAGCACTTGCTCAGCTTGCTGGATTCAGGATCCTGCTTGAGTGCCTCCAACCTTCTTTTCTTCCTGCCTGACTCTTTTGTGTTTGGTCTAATTGTGTTTGAAGAGGGAAGGGTAAGAGGCTAATTGCTACTTGGTAGGAGACAGAGAAGTGATAAAGGCTCAACTCACCCCTCCAGTTTCACACCACAAAACAGGATGGAGTTCTTCATTGCAAAGAGTGATTGTCACATTGCCCAGAAATGGAAAATATAATTTCCTTGTGCCAGATAAGTTGTACAGTTTGAAAGGTGCTGGAGTAAGAAAGCATAAAGACTACAAAAATAGCTTTGTTGCATAGACTACATCTTTGTCATAGCAGCTGTTGTAGTTGGACTTGTTGATAACAGATGTATAGATGAAATTATATGCAAAGTGCTCATTTATACCTGGCCATTTACAAATGAGTTTCTATTTAGTGTAAAAGACCAAGTCTTAGAGAAGTAATGATCAGAGTCCATTTCTGGGTTTTGTCACTGTTCAATTCTTGGGGCAGGGGTCTCCCTTTGAAGGCTGCCAGACAGCAGCGGGCTCTTGAAATTGACATATGTGTTAGGAGACCAGAAGGGGCATTCATCAGCCCAGTGAGGATGGAGATCTTTTCTTGGGCTATGGATGCTCCATGAATTGTAATCCAGGAAGGCTTCCCCCGAAGAGAAGAAATCAAAGGATGAAAAAGACAAACAAAAACTCCTACAAGGGAGAGGGAGACAAAAAGTAGAGGGATATGTAAAAAACAATATAAATAGATTTTGACAAGTAGCAGAATTTAAAAGGATGAGCAACATTAGTAATGTCAGCATCTGAAATACTCAAACTCATTTAAAATCTAATAAGAAAC